AAAAAAAAAACATTCTTCACTAAAACAATTTCCGTAATCATTTTTCCCTGTTTCATTCAACCTTTATAGACTAAATACACTAAAACACTGAAAAATAATGCAAAATAAACAAATATAGCTGAAGCTAATGAAAAAATAAAAAGGAAAGACAGAATTGAAACATCATCTCTGATTTCTGTCCCTACCGTATCCTAAGCTGCCCCCCTCCCCCCCCCCAAAAAAAAATCCCCTTACCATCAAATCCTATTTAGTGTAATTCAAGAAAAAAATTGCTACAACAACTTTTCGACGGTTAATCTATCGTAACAGTTGACGTTAGAAAACCCACACCTATCAGATGTGCTGTAGCCAATCTGATGCTTGTCAAGAAAGCACTTTTTTAACGACACAAATATATTTGTTCGAGATGGGAGCTACTATCTGTTGGTGAATAATACAAAAACAAACTAACAGTCATCCTAAACGTAGACGAAAAAAAGTATAAAAGTGACAAAAAGATAAATGCAATATTTTTCAGTTCTAATAGACCATCTCCCTGTGACATTAATGCAGTATTTTGAGAAGGAAAAAAACCATGAAAAATAATTTGGTAATACTGAGAAAAAAAACTTCAACTTACTTGAGAATTTTCTTCAGCTTTTTGTCGAAATATGGCATCAATATCACGACACTGTGATACCTTTTCAGATACACTGATCTGAATAACAAAAAATAGTAGTAATAAAATAAACTGTCGTGGAACTGACAACAGTGATAACTTCATAATAGTTTCGAAGAGACTTTGAATAAGCCGTCGCCTTGATTGGCAGAACGGAATTGGTTGCAGATTTGAATAATGCCAATACTAAAAACAAGTTTTTCTTTTTTTTTTTCCCTCTTCAATTTTTCTACTTCCAACCTTCGAATCTTAGATCCTGAAAAAAAAAATTATTCTAATTTAAGTAAACTGGATGTCCTTTTTCACATTTATTTTTTCAACGTAAGAACAGATTATTCAAATCAGTCGTGTGACTGTAATCATTATATATGCATAATAGTGCTACAGCTGCATATTTCAGCAGTATATAAATACTAATAATTCATGAAAACTATACATACATTTATACTCTTGCAAAATGACACTTAGTTAGACCAAAATTTCTTAGCATTTTTGAAGCTTGAAAAAAAAAAAAAAACTATCCCTCATCTGAGGCAGTCTAGTGCTTAAGACTTAGTTGTGCATACAGATCTCAATGCCTACTACTACTACTACCATTACTCATTGCAAATCTATTTATAGATCTACCGAGACCATTTCACTCACTACCTTAACGTCATATAATTAAAGTATATATAAATGTATACAAATATATTCAGGTATTTTTTTTCTCCTTTTAATGAAGGAAACAGAAAACATCCAAAAAAAATTGGTAATAATTGATAAACATTAGATGTAAAAATTATAAGTTCAAAGGACAATTAGTGTTATATTTGAATA